CAACAGAGAGAGAAAAAATGTAGAAAGAAAGTGATAATTTTTGCTCCAAAAATTCCAACCTTTAAAAATGGGGGAGGAGACCCCCTATATATAGAAAACATGCATTTGGCTGAGATATATCCCTCCATACACGTGTAGAGAGATGCAACCAATTGTGTCAACAGCTGACACAACTGTCAACAAAATATCTGAAAAAAGACATTGATGACCGGTAGGCCACTTCGATGGCTGGCAAGCACAATTGGTGGCTAGAAGGCACAAGGATGGCCGACAACCCACTAAAGGTGGCCAGCAGCCCACCAGAGGAGGCCTGCAGCTCCTAAGGTCTTGAGGTTTGAAGGACTAAGGTTTTGGTCCAAAACAAGGCACAGACTGGACAGGGTTTTAAGGCTCAAAGACAGGGTATTCCGCCAAGGACTTCGGGCACTAAAACGAGCACATGCAATCATAATCATCGAGTACACAAGCGATGACGTTCAAGTCTTCAAGACGATCAAAAATAGAGTGTCTACACTTGGTATCAAAACTACCGGGTTTGAAGACTTTGGGATCGTGGGATGTGATTTTTACCACAATGGGTTATCTTGCCAGTTTGTGTTAGAAGTAAACATGATATGTTATGTGATAACATGCTTATGTAACTAGATGAGGATGGATTTAATTTTTAAGATATTAATGGGGTCTACAAGTTTCTAGAAGTCCTATTAGAAAAGCATTTGATCACTGCAATTTCTAACTAGAACTTTGGCAATGTCGCGGGACGATCATTATCTAGAAAGGAAATTCGTCTATGTTTATGTGACGACGTACTTATGTGAAGTGAATTAATTGTTGTCTACCGCATTAAGACACGAATGAGTTAGCTTCGGCACATTTGTAAATGTGCTAATCTCTAGTGTTACGTTCATTAGGATATCAGGACATTGACGTAGTGGTGTTAGGCGTGGCAAGCCTAGACGGCAAAAGGTACTGTTACCGAATGATATTCTGACACAAGATGAAGGAGTTGGTCAGGTCAATGTAGCCGAATTAGTTGGTCAGCAGGCTATGGGTGCTTTAGCTCGTGAGATGGTCGAAGCTTTGCCCGAATCCATAGAAATTCTCATAACTAAGAATCAAGTGCAGGCCCATGTCGCTAAGACAGGGTCATTTTTTCTGAAGAGGGAGTTCTTCCGGTCTAATCCGAATGAGTTTTTGGGAGATCCGAAGGAGCCACTGAAGGGGGATAAGTGGCTAGAGCAGATGGTGAAGATGTTCGAGATGATTAACATCGAGGACGACAGGTTGAGAGTGACCTTGGCATCCTTCCAGGTGAAAAGAGATACAGGTCAGTAGTGAAAGTACACACGTGGGCACATTGGGGTGACTTGGGAGTCCTTTGTCAACGCCTTCCAAGACAAGCTTTTGCCTCCCACTACTAGGGAGAAGGAAAGAGCAGTTTCTAAAGCTCAAACAGTTGAACACATTGGTGGCTGAGTTTAAGGCTGCCTTTACCAGTTTATTGAGGTTTGCACCAGAACTCGTGGTGACGGAGAAACGCCGCTGCATTAAGTTCGAGAAGAGGTTGAGAACCGGGCTTCTTTTCAAAGTGGTTGGGTCCATAATTAGGGACTATGAACGCCTTGTGGAGGCGGCGGCTCATCTTGAGACCATGGTTCAGTCGAAGGAGGAGCGGATGAAGGGCTCTAGGAAAAGGAGTTAGGAAGTTCAAGGGGAGACTCGAGATAGCAAGAGGCAGAGGGGTTCTATCCCACAGCAGTCCTAGGGAGCACAGTCTAGATCCACTTTTCTAGTACCGAGTTCGGGTTCTAGAAGAGGTGGTCAGGGAGGGATCACTTGCTTTAAGAGTGGTCAGTTAGGCCATAAGTCTTTAGTTTGCCCATAGAGAAGAGGAGGGCAACAGTCTGCACCATCTGTGGCTCGTCCTCAGAGCCAGAGTCAAGGGAACGAGCAACCGCCTACCTATTACCAGTGTGGGTAGTCAGGGCACATGAGAAAGTTTTGCCCTCAGCCGGGTGGCACATCTGGTGCGTCTGGTTAGAGGCAAACATAGAGCCATCAGCCTACGTTGTCAGCTCATGCCTCCAGGGCCAATCAGGGAGCCTCTTCGGCTCAATCAGTGTTTCAGACTTATGCTCCGAGGGGTGAGCAGGTGGAGCAGAGACTTACAGGATGTGTGTATGCTGTTACCACGCTAGATTTGTTGCTAGCACCTTCGGTAGTGAGAAGTAACTTTTTGTTGTGTAATTCTATTGTCAATGTGTTGATTAATACTGGTGCATCCCATTTTTTCATTCTGTCTGCATTCGCATCAGCATTAGGGTTAGAAGTAGCTTAGTTAGCGTCTCCACTCAGGGTAAAGTCACCTAGTGGTGGTGAGGTTGTGTTGGACCAGGGGTGTCGGGGTTGTGAAATAAAGATTGTCGGTCGTCGACTTCCCTTTGTTTTTGTGTTGATTGATATGTTGAGCTTTGATGTCATTTTGGGCATGGATTGGTTGTCATTCTATCGGGCCATTATAGACTGTTACCGTCAGAGAGTCACGATGTGCACCTCGAGTGGTGATTGTTTTTATTTCCTGGGGGACTGAGTTGAATGATGATCCGCGCAGTCGAGGCGAGCTTAGTCTCTTTCTTGCTACATTCTTGGGTATTGAGAGTGATGTGGTCGGAGTAGAGTTGCCGAGGGTAGTTTGTAAATACCCAGATGTCTTTCCCGGGGGTCTTACTAGTTTACTACCTCACCATGAGATTGAGTTCTCTATTGATTTAGTGTCTGGCACAGCACCGATTTCTATGGCACCGTATAGATTTGCACCCGCCGAGTTGAGTGAGCTGAAGATTCAACTCTAAGAATTATTAGATAAGGGCATTATCCGCCATAGTACTTCGCCTTGGAGAGCACTGGCTCTCTTTGCTAAGAAGAATGATGGCACATTGCGACTTTGTATTGATTACCGGAAGCTGAACCGAATAACTGTTAAGAACAAGTACCCATTGCCACTTATAGATGACTTGTTTGACCAGTTGAAGGAGTCTTGTTGCTTTTCTAAGATAGACTTGAGGTCAGGTTATCACCAATTGAGTGTGAAGGAGGAGGATATCCAAACAATGACATTCCGTACGTGGTATGGCCATTATAAGTTCCTAGTAATGCATTTTGGGTTAACCAAAGCACCAGCTTTGTTTATGGATTTGATGAATCAAATCTTCCGTGAGTTCTTAGACCGTTTTGTGGTTGTCTTTGTTGACGACATCTTGATCTACTCACCTTCAGAGGAGGAACACGTACAAATTGTACTTGAGTTTCTTAAAGCCCACAAATTGTATGCTAAGTTTGGGAAATGTGAGTTCTGGTTGAAGGAGATAAAATTCTTAGGCCATGTGATATCTGGAAAAGAGGTGATTGTAGATTCTTCTAAGATAAAAGTAGTGCAAGATTGGAAACAACCTAAGAATGCATTTGAGATCCGAAGTTTCTTGGGGGTATTACCGTCGTTTTGTTATAGATTTCTCCAGATTAGCCTTACCTTTAACTAGACTGACGAGAAAGGGAATTAAGTTTGTGTGGAGTGAGACTTGTGAGAAATCATTTCAAGAGCTTAAGGTTAGACATACCACTGCTCCAGTGTTGATTATTCCAGAGAGAGGTTTGGGCAATTCAATGTATTGTGATGCATCCCGTGAAGGTTTGGGTTGTGTCTTGATGCAAGGGGGGAAGGTAATAGCTATCCTACTCATGACCTAGAGCTAGCAGCAGTAATCTTTGCCTTGAAGATTTGGAGATATTATCTGTATGGTGAGAGGTTTAAGTTATTCTTCGATCACAAGAGTTTGAAGTATCAATTTTCACAGAAGGATTTGGATGTAAGACAAATGAGTTGGATAGAGTTTATGGAAGATTGTGATTTTGAGCTGCACTATTATCTAGGGAAAGCCAATGTAGTAGTTGATGCCTTGAGTAGGAAGTCCATTAGTAGTGTAGCTAGTATTGCCATCTAGAATGGGAGATGTTGGGTGCTATCAGCAAGTTTGACTTGCATCTTGGCGAGTCCGTTGAGTCTGCAGCCTTGTTTAGTATAGTTGCTCAACTTACACTTGTGAGCCGAGTTATAGAAACACAATGGGGTGATCACGAGGTAGAGTCTATCCGAGAGAAGATATCTAGTGGGAAGATAGAAAAGGGCTTGAACGTGTACTCTGACTCAAGTGCTAGATATCTTGACCGTCTTTTCGTGCCAAAGTCTTGTAAAGAGAAGGTATTCTGAGAGTTCCACTATCTACGCCTTGCGGTACATCAGGAAGGCACAAAGATGTATCATGACCTTAGTCGCCAATTTTGGCACAAAGGGATGAAGAGAGATGTAGCCTTGTTTGTTTCGAGGTGCCTTACTTGTCAACAAGTGAAGGCCGAGCATTAGAGGCCAGCTGGCTTGTTGCAACCTTTGCCTATAGCTGAGTTGAAGTGGAAGTATGTCACAATGGATTTTGTTGTAGGTGTTCCGAGAACTCAATGAGGTAATGATGCTGTGTGGGTGATAGTCGACCAGTTAACTAAGTCAACACATTTTGTACCTATGCACACGAGTGACTCGGTAGATTACCTTGACGACCTTTATGTTAGGTACATAGTTCAACTTTACGGGGTCCCTGTGACTATCATTAAGGATAGAGATCCGCGTTTCACAGCTCGATTATGGGAGAGCCTACGGAACGCCTGCGGCACTAGGTTTGACTTTTAGCACCACTTATCATCCTCAGACTAACGGGCAATCAGAGCGTATCACTGAAATCCTAGAGGATATGCTTCAGGGTTGTATTCTTGATTTTAAGGGGTCGTGGGAGAAGCACTTGCCTTTAGTGAAATTTTCCTATAACAACTTTCAGGTAAGTATTGATATGGCGCCGTTTGAGGCTTTGTATGGCTAACTGTGTAGATCTCCAGTGTGTTGGGCCGAGGTGGATGACACATCTATGTTAGGTCTTGAGTTAGTCCGGAAAATGACGAAGAAGATTGCACTTATCAGTAAAAGGTTAGTTGTGGCTCAAAGTCGTCAGAAAAGTTATGCTGACCGTAGGAGGAGGTCGTTATCATTTGAGGTAGGAGATCACGTCTTCTTGAAGATATCACCTAGATGGGGATTGATGAGGTTTGGAAAGAGCGGGAAGTTGTCTCCTCGATTTATTGGGCCTTTTGAGATTCTAGAACGTATTGCGAATGTAGCTTATCGTTTAGCCTTGTCGTCCCAGCTTTTTGACATTCATGACGTGTTCCATATATGTATGCTCTGGAAGTACGAACCTAATCCTTCACATGTGTTGGATTGGACTGAGTTAGAGGTAGATGAGGATGTCTCATATGAGAAGAGACCGGCTAGAGTTTTAGATACTCGGGACCAAGTCTTGCGAGACAAGACAATTCTATTGGTAAGGTGTTGTGGAGACCCCACGGGGTTGAGGAGGCGACTTAGGAGCACGAGGCGAAAGTCCGTGAGAAGTATCCAAATCTTTTTGTTAATGTTTGAAAATCTTGTTATGTTGATTAAATGTGAACATTGTATATGTTTTGAAAGATTGAATTGTATATTCAGCATTGAAAACTTGTTATCATTGTTTTGAGAATGAATGATTGGTGGATGGATCATGGTTATGAGTTCGACTTGTTATTATTGATGTAATTGCTTTAACACGGTGTTGTTGTTTGTTAAAAAATGTCGGGCACGAAATTCCTTAAGAGGAGAGGTTATAGCGATTCTGGTTTAGACCCGACCCGTTTATTGTTTTGAATCTGGGATTTCTTATCTTAAAAGGTTGTTTATACCCTTTTACATTCTATTCTTGATTGAGTTTGGTTATTCGGATGTCGTTGTTGCGTTTAGAATACGTTGGGAGTCCGTTTTTCAAAAGAGTCTTCGCCTAGATTTTGGTCAATTCGCTCGAGCAGTATCACTTATTTTGTCTGATCACTTGAGCGGTGTTTTGGTCGCTCAAGCGATCTACGCGTATATCAGTCCGAGAAAGTCACTTTTTGAGTCATTTTCTCATCTCTCTCTCTCCACATTTCAAAACCCCAGATTTTCTTCCTCTCTCTCTCTCTAGAACTCATCTTTTACCTTCAAATACACTATCATCCATTAATCTCTACACCCTAGTCCCTTTGATAAAGAGGTAGAGCTCACCTACAGCTTCATTTTAATCAAAACAAAGTTGATTTTCTGCTTCGCCTAGGGTTTCTTCTCTCTCTTGCCTTCTAGCTTTGAGGTAGAGATTTCTCCACACTTTTGTATAATTTTTAACTTAGTTATTTGCTTTTCTAAAAAATATTGCGACTTGAGAATTTTTGGATAAACCTAGGATTTTGGCTTTGAAATCAAAAGATGGGTTTTCAAAATGGTTTCTTGGAAATGATTGTAGGTTTGTAAATGTGGTTGAGTTGTGATAAAATGGTAGATTTTTATCCTTGGAATTGATTTATAAAGAAAAGAGAATTTTTTCATAAAATGTGAATATTTGATTTTGTAAAGAGGAAACAGAAATGATGATGGATTTTATGAAATTGGAATGATGATTATGATGATGATGATGGTAGAGTTGGATATCCATTATCACTCCCATCTTGAAATTTTGAAAAATTTATCTTTATTAGAAATTATCTATCTGTTTAGATATATCTATTTTGGGCTATCGGTGGGGATAATTATGATTATTATAGAAATAGCATGAGAACTAGAAGAATTGAAACTAATTTCTCATCCATTTGCATTGTTGCATATTTGACACATTGAAAATGTACATTGTTTTGAGAAAAAAGAGTGAATACCTTGGTAAATCTGGTTAGGGAGTGTGGTTGTGATATTGTTTATGTTGGCCTATATGTCCTTAGTAGAAGTCCAGAAACCTGCATAATTAGGTGCCAATGCTTCTGGTTAGTACCAGTAAAATGGCTTTGGTAGTGCTTGTATAGCCTATTGGCAGACACGTACCTAGAGATTCCCAGTGTTTTGTATGCACTGCCTTATTTTCTGATTTAATAAAATGTATTATTGAGCTATGCTGACTGAAGAACGAGACACTTGTCCTTTGAGGTGAGGGATCACGTGTTTCTTAAAATCTAGCCAAGACGAGGTTTGATGAGATTTTAGAAGAGTGAGAAATTGTCTCCGAGATTTATTAGGCCCTTTGAGATTCTGGAGTGGATTGAGGAAGTAGTTTATTGTTTGGCCTTGCCGCTTCAACTTTCCGGGGTTCATGACTTGTTTCATATTTGTATGCTCTGAAAGTACGAGCCCGATCCTTCACACCTATTGGATTGGACCGATTTAGAGGTAGATGAGGATGTCTCGTGTGAAGAAAGACTGGTTCAGGTGTTATATATTCAGGATCAAGTCTTGAGGAGCAAGACTATTCCATTGGTTAAGGTGTTGTGACAACAGCATGGAGTTGAAAAAATAACTAGGAAGCGTGAGGCTGAAGTCCGTGAGAAGTATTCGAACCTGTTTATTGACATTTGAATCCTTTATACTAAATTTTATTTGTGTTGTAATGAGCAAACATTAGGAATGTTTTGGAGAATTGCAATAATTGTATTTTGGAGATGGATTGCTATGTTTATCTATTATTTGTTAACATGAGTTATTGTTGTTGTTAATGATTTATTGTGTTATTGTTGTATTGGTTAAATCTTGAGGACGAAATTTCATAAAGGGAGAAGATTATAGCGACTCAGGTAAAGACCCACCCTTTTGTATTCTTTGAACTGGAACCCAGTACTCATTATTATTGTTTAGACTTCTTGAGGTCTTATTATTAATCGGGATTAGTGTATTGGAGTTGTTGGTTGTGTTTTGAATAGATTGGGGTTAGTTTTTCAAAAGAGTTTTTGTTTGTTTCTCTTCAAGTTCACTCGAGCAGTATTTCTTGAGCTCAAGCAGTCTTTTACAGTCTGCAAAACTACTAGAAGTGTGGTATCTTCACTCGAGCGGTATTTCTTGTGCTCGACACTTTTTCCCTTTCCCTTTCCAAATCCCTCCCCAAATCCTCCAACCAAACACACCATAACAGTTGTCCTTTTTTATTTTTAATTTTTTGTTATATCTCTCACAAAATTCAGCTTAACATTTAAAATTTATTTATTTTTTAAATCATATAAAAACAGTTGTGCATCTATTTCATTCGCATTTTTATTTTTATTTTTTTCTGAATTACAAATTCTCACAATTTGGATGGAAGAATAGAATTCCCCTCCCTCTTTACATTCATCATACACGGGCTATGTCATACTCCTATGTGTCTTAACTTGTACACAATTTTAGAAGTCCACATAATGTAGATGGTATGATTTTAGAGATCTTTTTCCGAAAGAAATGAAAAAAAACCATGTCATCATCCAAACAAAGCAGCATAAAAGATGTGCAAATACAAAAACAACAAATTAACAAAAACAATATATATATATATATATACATAATATAGGGGACATAGGAATGCATAGGGCCGTTAAGAAAGAGAAAGGCGACCGATGCCAGAATCTCCGCCCCCCAATAACAACAATCGTTATCGGCAACGTACAGCGCTGAAAACACTACTGACGATAAGTGCATCAGAGACTCTAATTTGTTTCTCCCTTTGGTTTTCTTTCTAAAATATAAAATTAAACTTTACAAAGTAAAAAAAAGCAAATCACGCAACGCAAATACATATCATATCATATCATATCATATCATAATAAATTGGAATTGAAGGAGGCTCAGAGAGCTGAGATTATTTTGTGACATCAATAAGCACACAGCTTTCATAATTTCATAGGTACGTTGTTTTCTCGTCACTGCCTTCCTTCCTTCCTTCATACATAATAATAATAATATTCAAAAAACACACAAAATCTAATCAATCTATAAGAACCAAAACAAAATTTCAAACAAAACACACACACACACAACAAAAAGAAGAAAAAAAGCCTCAGAAAGGTAAAGATAGATTACTCATCAATGGAGTCTTTGAAAAAAAGACTCTCAGATGGTACGGACAATACATCTATGCATCATTGGCCATTTCTTTTCTTTATATCTATCTATCTATGATGTTGAAACCATCCCCAAACAAAAAATGCTCATTCAGCGTTTGTTTCTGGGATCTGCGTAGGAGGAAAGAAAGAGAGAGAGAGAGAGAGCTGCCTCTGGTGAAAGTTCGCCCAATGAAAGTATGTACACCCAATGCGATATCTATATATATATAAAGACTGAGGAAACCCTAATGACTGATTCTACTTACACCACCCATCTAACTCTTTACACCTTCAAATTTTATTTATTTATTTATTATTATTATTTTTTTAATTTATACAATTCCTTTATTACCCTCATCTTTAATTTTTCTCCATCTCTTCTCATTACACCCAAAATCTAAAAAAAACCCTAACCCTAGTTCTACTGTCCATCACCACCACCCCTATCGGCCTGTTACCGGCGCCGCTACTCCGCCACCCTTCGTCTCTTCCTAGCCACTCTCCGCCTCACCCCTTTCCTTCACCGTCGAAGCCTTTCTCCATCTTCTTCTTCTTCTCCAAATCTGTTAACAGATTTGGTAAACAGAGATCGTGTTACGCGATGAGACCGCTAGTGAAGTTCGATTCGAGTTTGAAGAGTTCAGTACTAAGGTCACCGCTCTCTTCCTCGCTGCTCATGCCAGCAATGTGACGTTCGTCCGGAAATTACTGGTATTGCTTTTGTATGATTTTTGTTTTTTTGTGAAGACGAAGCTCGTTATGTTTGACAATCTGTGTGTGTAGATATATGATCTGTCTTCATTTTTTTTTTTGTTTTTTTTTTTTTGTTTTTTGGGAATTAGAAGGTATAGAGTTCGAATTTTGTGTTTGTTTCTCATTTTGCTCGAATATTCTCATCAATTTGATACTGTAAGATGTCCGAATCAAAGCTTTTCTAAATTTTTCCATGATTATCTGGGAGAGAACTAGGTTAGGGTTTTTTTAGGTTTTGGGTGTAAAGAGAAAGAGATGGAGGAAGATTAAAGAGGAGGGTAATAAAGGAATTGTATAAATTATAAAAATAGAAAATAAAAAATAAAAAAATTGAAGGTGTAAAGAGTTAGATGGGTGGTGTAAGTAGAATCACTCAAAAAAAAAAAAAAAAAAAAAAAAACCTCATATGGAGGGTGTAAGAAGATGAAGTAGTGGTGTAAGTAAAATCACCCAATTGCTCAAGGCACAAATTACTAAAATACCTTAAAACATCATTTACCATTTTAACCAATTAACCCCAAGTTCATTACTTATTTGATAAATTCAACAATTTCACCCAAATTACTTTTAATGGACTAATTTACCCCTAAGGGGTCAAAATCACCATTTAGCTTTTACAGTCTCTAAATTCATTAAATACTCCAACAAATCCATAAAAGTAATTTAAACTTTAAAATAATCATAGGATCATATTTATTCAAGATACTAGGAAGCAAAACAAGTTTAGAAAAAGAGTAATGCTACATCCCTCTAATTTTGCACCCCTAATTCTACTCCTAATGACGTGACTTACTCCCATATGAAGCGGTTCCACACTTTGAGGAGAGCTGATTGATTGTTATTATTTGCCGCCTCATTAGAGGTGCAAGTAAGGGTGACAAAATGGAGTATGAGCCATTTCTTTTAAAAAAGATTGAGAAAATAGCTAAACTTAACTAAATCAAACCATCTCCCTAATTAAGCTATTTAATTCCATGATTAATATAACTACTTTATTTTTGTAAACCTGCATTGAGTTAATGACTAAAATACCATTTTTTTAATCAATTTTACACAATAAAAATAGGCAAATGATTTAGATTAAAAACAATTCAAAGATTACGATTTAGATTAATAAAATTAAAAACTTAAACAGTATTTTGTTACAAGACTCAAACTCTAAGTGATTTTTTTTTGGCAATTTTTCCTATTATATATCATCGATTCTTTTGTCATTGTTATGTATTTATTAATTTTTAAATGACAATGAAGTGTGATTAGATAAAAAGGAACAATATTCATAATGGGAAATTTTACTATACACATCCCCTACCATATGCATCTTTAAGTTATGTTATTTTCTTTTTTAGTTATAATAGATTTTCTTCTTTAATTATAATCTCATTTTAGTTATGACTCATGAGATCTTTGGTTATATCTCATGTGTAATTTAGTTATAATTTTTTTTTAATTATAACTTAAAAAATATAAAATTATACTATTTTCTCTTTTATTTATAAAGTACCTACGGTATACATCCTTTGATCATTTCCATTGATAGTAAAATGGTTACTTCCCTAATAAAATGACCCACCCAACTTGTATGGCTCGGCAACCTGACGTCTGTAGATGTGTTCTGGTGTCATAAACTACAAACTACGTTCTCACTTTCCATAGCTAGAGATCTAAGGAAACTGCAGGACGTTCGGATAACTCACTGTGGCATGATGAAAGCAATTGTTTCAAGTGAAAAATGATTTATATTTACGAAAATTATAAAAATTATATAATTAATTATTATAAATTATTATTATATATAAAAATTATATTATTTCAATGCTTGAGTGTTGTGGGTGTGGCCATTGGTGTGTGTGTCATTGTGTGGGTTGGCTTTGGTTGGTAGTAGAAACGCCATTTCAAATGGAAATAAAAAAAAAAAAAAAAAAAAATTCAAACACATCAATAATCAATACATCAATAAAGGTCGTAAGAGTCCTCCTTTATGGGAGTGTCAAACATTTTCCTTCTTTTTTAGTATCCCTTTGTTTTAATATGAAAAAGTGACCAATAGTTATGCTCAATATGCTTCTTGCCCTATACAAAAGAAGGAAAAAAAAAATAGAAAAATATGAGTGGACGGGGATGACCACTCTTCTTTTCTCTTTCCTCATGTAGAACCATTTCTTTTTTTATTTTTATTTTTGGTGTCCTTCTGTTTTAATATGAAAAAGTGACCAATAGTTATGCTCAATATCAGGGCCGGTCCTGAGATTTATGGGGCTCAAGGTGAACTTCGAAAATGAGACTCTCTTACATTGAAAAAAAAATAAAAAAATTCATGGATAAAACAATAAGTTATAATTTTTTATTTGTTTGTAACTACAAAAAAAATTACTTGCACATATAATCATTAAAATTATAAACAAAAATTTACTTTCATATATTAAAATAAGAAATAATCATTACAAATACTTTAAAAAAAATAAAAATCTAGTCTTATTGTTTTTTTTTTTTGGACCCCATGTTCAATTAGGCCTATAGTATTTGGGTCTTTTTTTAAAATAACCTATAAGTGGAGTAGCAAAAATTATTTTACAAAAAAATAAAAAAGTTTATGATTTTAATTATTAATATTTATAATATTTTCCACTTGTTTGTAAATGTTTTTCATTGACATGGTGGCAGTATAATTTCCCCTTATAAATACTCCTATTGATTGAGAATATATATATATATATATATATTTTCTCTATATCAAAGTGTATGATATCATAAACAAATGGTTAAAATTTATTTTATCCCCTATGCTATTCGTCCAAAGCATTATGTGAAAACACATGCTAAGTTAGAGTTGTACATAGGTTGAAAAATAAATGAAATTGGTCTAATTATATAGTAACTGTTTAATTATATATTTGATGAACTCTTTGTAAGAATTTTTTCTAAATATAACTTAATGTGGCTTATGCATGATTATATTAGATTCATCTCATTAAGAAAGATACATGTACATCAATTAGATGGTGACTAATCATTGATGAATGCACCTATATATACATTGTATAGAAGACTGATGGAGATAATGTCAATGCATCGAATGTGATAGATTCATTATGAATGAATCTTAAAGATGCATTATGTATATATTATGAATATATAAGATACATTAATCTATCTAATGAATTCATTAATATAGAAGATGCATTATGTATCATGAATGTATAAGATACATTAATCTATTTATTGAAATTCATTGAATGAATGGATTCTTTGATGGAAAGAATACTAGTATAAATAGGGTAAGGTCCCAAACCATACTCTCCATAAAAAACTTAAGTTGTCACCACAAGAAGGCTCCCATCGCCTAAAGAGAGAGAAGTGGTTTGAAGATCTTAGACAAGTAAAGAACTTAAAGATCAAGATCTTCCATTCAAGGTTTCTTTTTCTTAAAAGAGGATTTCATACTATCATAGATCAAGGTATGTATTCACTTATTTTGTATATTAGAAATTCATATAGTTTTCATGTATGGAATTGAATCCTTAATGGTTTTTAGTTTATATTCTGCAAAGTTTTCTATCAATTGGTATCAGAGCCATGGTTCTCAATTCTGATGCATGAAACGTATAAGTATGAATTTCATTTTATGATGATGTTTGGTGTAACAAGTACAAAACCTTGATTTACACTTGTCCAATTTTATTTTATTTTTGGTCAATCTTTTATTCTATTGATATTAAAATAAAAATTGAAAATTATTGAACAAGTGGTAATTAAGATAATGTTTTATGCACTTATAATGTTTTGTTACACATCTTATGAGTTGAAACATTGTTGATCAGCCCAACGAAGGTTCAACACTATGTATGTTTGAACAACCGAGATGATTAGTATAATAAATATAGCAATAAGTTTTTCTGCCCAACGGTGATAAACTTCTCTCGTGCTTTAGTTAATAAAATAAAATAAAAGACATTGAGTTTTTCTGCCCAACGGTGAGAAACTCGTTACGGTCTTAATGATTATTTTATTTTATTTTATGTTGTTTATTTTTTATTAGTCATCTCATTTACTTTTATGAATTGTTAAAATAAATTGTTATTCGGCCCAACGGAAGGATAACTTAATTTCGTATCTAACTAATTATGTTTTATAGTTAGATGTATTTAACTTGTGGTGTTATTTTTAAGAGATGTGAAAAGTAGTTTTCTTGACTATATTATGTAATGGATATTATGTGTTTGCAACATTAAATCCCACTGCAATTAATAGTTACTTGTCTGGTATTGAAACTTTGAGTGGAACTAATTTTAAGAAATGGAAGGAACAAATTGGAATTGTTTTGGGAATTATGGATTTAGACTATGCATTAAGAGAGCCAGCTCCTACAAAGCCTAATGATACAAGTTCTAAGGAACACATGGCTTTATATGAAAAATGGGAACTCTTTAATCGCTTAAGTCTAATGATTATGAAAGGCTCAATTACGCTTGCAATTCAAGGAGCGATTCTTGTTTCTGAAAGTGTAGTGAGCTATATGAAATCTATTGATGAACAATTCATTGGAACCTCCAAATCCCTTGCTAGTACTCTCATGATTAAAATGATGACAATGAAATATGATGGTGTGGTGTTCGTGAACATATCTTAAAGATGAATGACAAGGCCTCTCAATTAAAGGGAATGGACATGGAAATTTCTGAAAGTTTTCTTGTTCATTTCATTATGACTTCTCTTCTTGCGCAATTTAGTCCTTTTAAGATCAATTATAATACGCAGAAAGATAAGTGGAAGATGAGCGAGTTAATTGCCATGTGTGTTCAAGAAGAAGAGAGGCTTAAAGCTGAAAAGCCTGATATGGCTCACCTTACCACCTTGGGTCCAACCAAAAATTCTTTTCAAGAAAGGCAAAAGTAAGAAGAAGAAGAATGCAAATGATGAAACTCACAAGGCTAATGAAGAAAATAAGACTTGATGCTATTTCTGTCGAAAGAAAGGTCACATAAGAAAGGACTATCCAGGTTTTAAAAGTTGGTTGGACAAGAAAGGTAACACTCAATGCTTTGTGTCTTATGAATCCCTTTTGGTAGATGTTCCACCAAATTCTTGGTGGATTGACACTGGTGCAAGTATTCACATAACAAATTCCATGCAGGGATACCTTACAAGTCGGAAACTAAATAAAGGAGAACGAACCATTACAGTTGGGAATGGAATAGAAGTGAACGCGAAGGCTATTGGCACTCTCCGTCTAATTTTAGACTCTGGTTTCATTTTAGATTTAGTAAACACAGTTTATGTTCCTGTTTTTACTAGAAACCTAATTTCTGTTTCACAACTTGATTCCTGTGGTTATGAATTTAAGTTTGGAAATAATAGAGTCTCTTTATTCCACAATTCTCATATGATTGGTTTTGGTACTTTATATGGTAATATTTATTCGTTGAATTTAGATTCCACTTATGCACAATCTCTTTTATTCTTTAATGTAAACGACTTGGTAAACAAAAAGAGAAAGCTAGTGAATGAAAATTCATCCATGTTGTGGCATAAGCGCTTGGGCCATATATCAAGAGAAATGATGGAACGTCTTATTAAAGGTGGAATTTTAAGTTCACTTGATTTTTCTGATTTTAGTACTTGTGTGAATTGCATTAAAGGAAAATACACAAAGACAAAGAAAAAGGGTGCTACTAGGACTACTGAATTATTAGACACAATTCATACTGATATATGCAGTCCCTTCACTGTTCCAATTATTTCTGGACATAAATATTTTATTACTTTTATTGATGACTTTTCTAGGTATACTTATGTGTATCTTATTCGTGAAAAATCAGAAGCACTGGATATGTTCAAACTCTATAAAGCTAAAGTTGAAAATCAACTTGGCAAACGAATTAAAAGTATAAGATCTGATAGAGGTGGTGAATACTATGGTAGATTCACTGAATCGGGTCAAAATCCAAGTGCTTTTGCTTTATTTTTTGGCTGAGAATGGTATTGTTGCTAACTACACAATGCCTGGTACACCTGAGCAAAATGGTGTAGCTGAGCGACAAAACCGTACTCTTTTGGACATGATGAGAAGCATGATGAGTAACTCTTCTTTGCCAAATTACTTGTGGGGTAAAGCTTTAAAAACTGCTGTACATGTTCTTAATAGAGTTCCTAGTAAGGCTGTGCCTGTAAACTCCTTATGAGTTGTGGGTTGGTAGGAAACCTGATTTGAATTATTTACATATATGGGATTGTCTTGCTGAAGCAAAAAATTTCAACCCACAAATAAAGAAATTAGACCCTAGAACTATAAGTTGTTATTTCATTGGATATCCTGAGAGATCAAAGGGTTTTAGATTCTATTGTCCCACTCATAGCACAAGAATTGTTGAAACTAGAAATGTTGTGTTCTTAGAGGATGAAAACATTAGTGGGAGTATGAATCTCAAAAATATTTCTTTGGAGAAAAATCGTGTTTTTACGCCTTCCACGATTATCCAAGAAAATGTTGTACCTGAACCTATTGGTACACAAGAGATTTCTCACATTGGAAAAAAAGTTGTCCCAGTTGCAGAACAACATTACACAAATCACAAAGAGAAAAGAAACTAGCCATATCAGATGACTATGAGGTTTACCTAAATGAGTGTGATATAGGCTTGGAGAATGATCATGTTTCTTATGCCCAAGCCATGAAAAATGAAAATGCAACTCAATGGTTAAATGTCATGAAAGACGAGTTAAAATCCATGAAAGACAACAATGTCTGGGATCTTGTAGAATTGGCTAAGGGAGCCAAAACTGTTGGATGCAAATGGGTTTTTAAAACCAAGTGTGATCCTAAAGGCAATGTCAAAAGATACAAGGCCAGATTAGTTGCTAAAGGATACACTCAAAAAGAAGGGACAAACTATAAGGAAACTTATTCTCCTATTTCTAATAAAGATTCCTTGAGAATAGTCATAGCCTTAGTAGCTCATTATGATTTAGAGTTACATCAAATGGACGTTAAAACAGCCTTTTTGAATGGTGACTTGCATGAAGTGGTCTACATGGACCAACCTGAAGGCTTTCAAGATGAAAGCAAGGAAAATATGGTTTGTAGGCTTAAGAAGTCCATATATGGTCTAAAGCAGGCATCTCGACAATGGTATCTTAAATTTCATGAAGTTCTCACCAAATTTGATTTTAAGGATAATGTGGTTAATTAATGTGTGTGGACGCCCCGAACGTCCCGGGGGAAAATCCCCCCCTCCATTTTGTTCATTTGGGCTCACTACAGTTCAAACTCAAATGTCACGGTTCTTAATCTGATCTTGCAAAGTGCAATGCAAGACTGATAAATCACCAAAGAGTCCAAATCTGGCAAATCGTTTTAGAAAACAGATTTTTGTAAAGAAATGCCAAACATGGACTGCTTTGCCAGATACAGAGTCGCCACCTACTAACCGTGATATCTAGTTTTGAAAACATTATGCATTCTTATTCCGGTTAATTAGCTAATCTTACTATGTGATGCGCGCAACACAAAAGTATAGACTAGATCGCCTAATTTGGAACAAAGCATTGCATATCCGCTCATTTAAAAAACAGTTTTGAATTTTGCTACTCACAAGTAGGCTAAAACACGGATTTCAACGAGTTGTTCCAACTCAAGCAATCCAACCTTCACCCATAGGCATTCAGGCAGTAAATCAACTAAGCAGTTGGCCTCATGGAAAGCATGCTTTCATGTTAACATTCACACTCATGCGAGATGCTAAAGCATAAACACTCACCTAGTACTCCAAGCCAAAACAGGGAACATGTTAGCAATCAGATGTATGATCCAAGTCCATGTTAAGATGGCTAATGCATCGCAGGCAAAATACAGCTAGAATAGGCTCAGCTAACCTATGGATGGCATGTGAAATGCAACAGATAACATGTATTCAAGTTAGATTTGAAATACTATGCAATTAGTATGATTCGCCGAGCCCGGTGCATGCAATACTGATGAATGATGCATACATGCATAGCATAAGGATGCTAATTGAAATATGCCCTAATACTAACCATCAAAAGCAGATAAGTAAAAGGGAGAAAGAAATGGGGGTTGGAAGACATGCATTACACACACGCACGCTTATTACAAATTCGCCCCACTCGGAGGGACCAAAAGAATAATACAAATTTAACTAACTAACAAGCTAATTAAATAGTTACAGACCACTTAACTAGTTAAGCAAATTAACTAAGCTAATAAAGCGGTAAAATAGCCTCGGGAGGGTCCAATGCATGCATGCTCGGCTCCGCTCGGAAATCCACCACCATGCACAAGCTGCCTCTGTTTGCACTGTTTTTCTCCTTTGAGGACTGCACAAGTCTCAAAGTTGTTTCTGAAATACTCCCTGAGGGTTGTAGGAGACCACCGGTAAGAAGGAAACACCACCGGCCATGAGGAAGAGGTCATCGACCACAAATGAAGATCTCGGCCAAATATGGATAGCCGGCCGGCACTGAAGATGGCCGACCGGCCATCCTTTCCTGCAGAACCCTGTTTTGATAACAGCAGAGGGCAAACAAGGCATGACAATGCATTTTAAGCAAATGTTTGCACAACCAACCTCCCCATCATGTTGTGGACTCAAGGGAGTTTGGTACTCGACCCTCAAACCACCAATCGCGCATTTCAATGTGTGATGGTCCAAGAAGTCAAGTATGCATTTTGATGTCAAGTGTAATGCACATAAACACACAATGGGCCCAACCTCTATCATAATCAATTCAAGAGGCAAGGCATGCATGCCAAATGCAACCTAAGCATGCGAGCTAAGTATGCAACATGAAAATGCAAACACGCATGCAAACATAACAAATGAGCAAGCAAGACATGATGCAACCAAACCATGCAAACATGAAGCAATGTAACAACATTTGAGCAACATGAAAAAGATGGACTTAGACTAATATGGACAAGCCTCAACCATGTCTAAATAAGTAACCAAAATGCTATGGAAATGAAGGCAAATTTACATACAAACATGCATGCAAACATGGTCCAACACTTAAGCATAAAGAGGAGACTTTTAAGCACACTTAAAAGGACTAAACATGGACATTAAATTAACATGTTAGGCTCTGAAAAAAAGTACAAGATGATGCCAAATCAAGCAATCAAAGCATGCAAGCAAGCCTAAGGCCTAAGGCTAACCTAAGGGATCAAACCATGGCTATGCAAGGCGAGTCCCAAAGGGTCGAGGGGACTCAAAACAGTCCCAATGTAAGTCGAGACAAAGCCCAAAACACACTTAGATGACATCTAAATGGCCTACCCATGGAAGCATACACAATGGTCCAAACATGGAGCATAAGACATCAACCTTTTAAAGCATATAGAATCTATTGGAAAGCTAGATGTTGGATGTACAGATTTAGTTGAATATTAATAAGTAGCAGGGTACTTGTTCTTGAGTCATATCTCCTGTCTCGACTATACACACTATTTTCCATCCAAAAAAATGTGACAATGAAGTCCAAGCTTCGCTAAACGATACTTAAGAGATTCACCGTCTCCTGGAACAAGATCTCTAGTAATAAAATCCTTAACTACCATAAAAAAAAGGAATGATTTGTGAAAGGGAGCGTTAAGTAAGGTCAGGAATCCTAAAC